GCTTTCGAGCCTATACAGCTTGGAGTAAGACAACATGCATGAAGAGGATGATGTGGACAAAATACTCATTTGCCTAATAATTCTGCACTCCCTGTATATCCTGTCACCAAAAGATGTTTTGAGGTGATATTAATAATCCAAAACTTTCTTTTCAGTTTTTTTTTAGTATTGGACTTTATTTTTAATAAAGAATAACGGGGGGTTTTGGGGGGGGTTTAGAATACATAATTTGGAGCCAAGTAATGTAGTATCATCATCTCAACATGAGCCCCATTCAGAGGTGAGCACCCTCATCTCTGGTTCAGTCCAGGCTGTTTAAAACAACGTTCATTTTTAAAGCAGAGTCACTGTGTCCTGTGAATGGTGGCTGGCTGAGCCAGCTGTAACGCAGTCCTGATGCCACAGGTTTTCTGCAAGGCAGTTGAGGAGCGAGGCTACGTCGCCCAGCCCGTCTGTGACCTCCCCGCCTGTACGCAGTACCGGGATACCCCATGTCTCCTGGAAGTCCCTTATATCTCTCTCTGCCACATCACAGTGCATGAAAAGGTCGAATCTGAAGGAAACATTAAGGATATGTTTATGTAAAGAGTGTGTTTGTGCCACAGACTCATCTTAGTTTTTTGGGGGGGGTTTTTGGCACTTCAAAGTTGTGCCTCCTGGTCTTGTAGAACCACAGATGATCCCATAGAAAAGTGGATGATTACTTCTGATTGACATTTCCAACTATTTGTAAGGAAGATAAAAGGATACTTGGTGCCAACCACAATTTTCACAACACGCCTGACAGATGGCTCGGACCATTTGGCGAGCTGATTTGGCAGATCATCAAATGATGTCCTGTCTGTGAAGGAGAATAGTAAGAGGACTGCATCCACTTGCTCCTTGCAGGACTGGAAGAGAGAAAGGAGATCAGACAAAACACAGAAATCTGTTTGTTTTCCACATCTAGAATAATTGTTTTAGTCTTTGCTTTGTGTCATTCATACTGGAAGCAAATGGTCAAATCTGCGTAAGGCGTTCTCTCCACAGTCCCACAGCTGAAAACGGAAGAAAAGCACTCTGCTGCTTTCTTTTAGCTTCACTGGCCAATACACCACTGTTGTCTCAATGCCTTAAGCAACAAAAGATGACAAAGAATATTAGTGACATTGTCAGCCTCTTAACTTTTTGAAACTTTGTAAACTACTTTAAAAAAAAAAGGCTCAGACTTAGTTCTACGTAATCTAGTTAAAAATCTGTGTTTTTACACCAGCAGTGTGAATGGCTTACCTGTGGTTTCATGGTGCATGCTGGGAATATTCATGCCTGCAAGACGTGCAGCAATAGCAGTTTTCCCAACTCCGCTCTTACCAGAGATGAAGATCTTATAATGAACTGTGTCCACAGCTACATGTGGAGGCATCACTGGAGACTCCAAAAGGCCTGAAAAACACATTTTAAAAGGACCACTGAAAGAAATTACACACCTGAGTCAGGATAATAGAATATGATATAGGGTTAATAGAATTTGTCTTTAAAAGCACCCCATTAACATCCAGTGAGTGACCGTGGAGGAAAGTCCAGCACTTTTGGTCATCTCTGGACATCAAGAAGAACTTTCAAACCAAACCAAAGGGTGGAGCATGTCCCCGACTACTTGTGCTACGTGTGGCCAGATTTTGGCATTTCTATCACAAGTGACCCCAGGAAGAATGGCAATGCTGCAGCTAATGGAGATCTTAGTAAACTAAACTAAAGATGCCACTATGGCATCATTCTCTCCCCTGTTTATCTCCTTGCGTGTCATAAGTCCATGATTTAAAATGCTGCCATGTCTTCTCAGCACACCCCAAGTGTATCTTGTAATCTGCAAACATCATAATCCACAGAGACTCCGTCTGTCCATCACAACTGCAAACAGGAAGGGGCCCAGAGACTTTCCCTGATGTGATCCCAGTCCCACCTTAAGGCTTGTGGCTGTCTCTGTCCTCATAGGTACCCATACTGTCCATGGTTCATATTTCACTCTGTCACACTGGTGCCTACTTAGCAATGTATGCATAAAACCTCCAATTTGCCGCAGCTGATTGTTCACCGAGAAATGGTGCAGCTAAAAATATAGTCCCCAATATGTTTTAATCCAATATTTTACAGCCTCGTGGGTTGCTTTAATCTATTTATAAATTATTCTGGGTTTTTATCCTCCACAAACAACAACAAATGGGGAGTTTGTACTTCATAAAAACCATTATGTTGAGGTTTGAAATAAATGCACATTTATTCGCTAGCTACTTTTTATAGCTGATTTCCAGTGAAACACAGATACTGCCTACAAACGTTTTTGCATTTGTCTGATGAGTGGCTGCACTTCAAGTAGTCTCAGTCGCAATAAATCAGCTGCAAGAAGAATTTGCGGTATTTCTGAATACTTATACTTTTTTTTTCTTTACATGTGAGTGCGTAAGGTCCCCTGAGGGAGAAAAAAAGACAAAACTGTTGTAATTTGGAAACATATCTATTTAGCTGACATTACCAAAGTTTCTCCGTCTCTTCTTGTGGAGGATTTTGCTGAAATACTCTTTACTGTCTTTATATCGATGCCAGTCTGCGACTACGACTGATCCTGGGG